CTTGTTGTCTCGGATTCTCCAGCATCTGCAGTTCCTACTACCAATGACTTTCTGTCCACCAGCATAAGTGCCACTATCTACTTTCTGATACCTCACTCTACATCTGCAACTAACATAATCAAAGGCCCCTCCCACTCTGGTTATACACTCTTCCACCCTCTTCTGTTGGGCAAAAGATATAAACGTTTGATTACACGTACGAATACTGTAAAGAACAGCTCCCACCCCACTGTTATCAGACTTTTGAATGGATCTCTCAAATGTTAATTCTGATCTTTCTCTCTGCACCTTCTCTGAAGCTGTAACACTGTATTCTGCACTCTTATCTGCTATCCTAATGCACTTTGTATGGTATGAACTGCCTGAACAGCACACAAAACAACATTTTTCACTGTACCTCAATCTATGTGACAACAATAAATCAAATCAGTTGTAATCACCGCCCACCAAGGCTCATGCTTGCCACTCTTACTGTTTCATGTAATATTTTCCTTCATTCACTCTCACCCACTACAGGCCCCAACACCAACGACTGCATGCCTTCTGCACTGCCTACACATTCACTCAGAGCACTTTCCCACCTGCACTAACAATAACAGCTGTGTTACCTACTTTCATCTCTCTTAATACTGATCTTTCCTTCATTTCAGGGGAAAACAGCACACAAAACGCATAAAGAGACAAGACTGGTGGTGAGCTGCCTGATATTTGGTTCCTCACTCTTATGTGGCAAGCATTGTGATTTTGATTGCCTTGTGTAGCTGACTGATGGGCTGGTATCAGAGGCTGCCTTCAACTTACTTTGCCAGGAGCCCCTGACTGAAAGCCATCTCCCTTGGTTTGACTGACGAATGCTGACAAACATGACAAGCTTCTTGGTTTTGAGCCCATGCTAAACAGTAAGGCAAGACAGAGGTGCTGTGAGCCTGGTATCTCTGGTTAAGGGCCAAGACACAAAAAAGCAAGGCATGAATGCTCTGAGCATCCAGGTAGGCTCACAGTGAGTGATCACTAAGAGAGCAAGGGAACTGCCTAAAGAGGCAGCCTGGTGCAGTCCATGAGTTGGATAGGTGTCCCTGAGTGCAAAGTGTCCTTGCTACAGCACTGCAATGATAGTTGCCAGCATGCCCCAAGTGCAGCAATGAAGTACAGAAACATAATGTAAATAGACTGGAGATATGCCATGAGGGCTCAGAGTCTAGTACATGTTGGATGTCAATGTCAGTAGGATTAAGGCGCATCTATGGTTGGTACCCATGGAACATGCGCAGAGATGTCTGGTTTTCTGACCCAATTCTAACCAGATTTTTCACCACAGCCCACATTATCCAGGTCCTTATAAGGTTCTTCCTATGTATTTTCTTATTCTGAGCATCTGGATCTAGTCTTTGTTTGCACCTTGTCTGCACTGCACCAACTGACTCAGCAACTTATAAAATGTTTGCCTAATAACTATCATGTAACCACTTGATTGTCAATTGTCATAAAAACCCACCTGGTTCACTAACGTACTTTGGGGGAGGAAATCTGCTGTCCTTAACTGGTCTGGCCTATATGAGACTCCAGACCCACAATAATGTGGTTGGCATTGAAGTGATCTGGGAAATTTGGAATGGGCAGCAACATCCACATCCATGAACGAATAAACAAAAACATACTGAGCTCTGAGAGTTCTCTGTGTCTTTTAATATTTCAGCCAGGTTCAGTCTCCCCAGAAGTTTTGCTTTCCAAACTGTTTCTTTAAAAACTGGGAGAGTCAAATTCCTTTCTCAGTATCCCTTTTTAATAGTTTCTAAAGGTACTAGCTTTGAAACTACAGATCCCGTCAGAGAAGTCACACCTTTTCACCACAAATTCTATACCCTCACCACTGATTCCATTTTCCTTTTGAATGACTGTAGGATAATATAGATTTTATGCACCATCAACATCTTCTCCAACACCATATTCTGTCCTTCGCAAGGATGATCTACTTCATCTCCTTAACATCATCCACCTTACTTCTTTCAAAACTTTGCTCCGATAATTTTGCCCATATAAAATCCATCACACCTATTATTTCAGTTCTTGCTAACTACATTGATTCCTGGCTTCTCACCTCCCTCTATCTTCCTTTGATCTTTCTTAAAATTCAACTCTTCAAGCTTTTGGCCATTTCCTCCCAATAACTCTTCTTGTAGTTCAGTATCCATTTTATCTTTATGCAGCACCTTTGGAGCTTTTTTCTATATTTAAGATGCTATGCACAAAGGTAATTTGTGGTTTTCAATTGGCAGGAGCTTATATTTTCCACTGATGAAATAACTTTTCTTTGTTTGGTGACAAGATTGCTCAAAAGTTAAAGGACTAGAAAATAGTGGCTTTTGAATTGTTTATACATATAGTGTGTGAAAGTCAGTGTGTCTAATGGAATAAGCTTTACAGTAGGATTTCACAGTATGATTTGGAGATCCTGTCATGATGTTTTCTCAGTGAAAATCCTTCATTGTTGCTGACAAAATCCCGGAACTCTCTTTGTTACAGCACAGTAGGTGTACCTAAACCATACAGACTGCAGCAGTACAAGAACGGGCAATTAGGAATAGGCAACAAACATGGGTCTAGCCAACAAAGCCCTCTTCCTCTGAACAAATAAATAGGAGATAAACATCAAACAGGCATAATTTTTTTTTGGAAAAAGGTGGTATTATTGATTTAAAATTATTACGCAGGACCTATGAAAGGCTGCTAAATCTGACACCTTAATACAAATTCATGAATTTAGAGCACAGGAGCTGCTTTTTCAACTATTGAAGAAAGAGTACAGTAAAATACATTAAATTGCAAGCCACAAGGACATCAGAAAAAACAAAGTACACTTACGTGAAAGGAGATACGTCTCGAAGGGATCCCTGAAGTGACAAAAAAAATTTTGATATGAGAAAAAGCAGTAAAAAGAATCTCATTTTAGCATACCTAATATTTACATTAGAACTTTGATCGTTGATCCTCAAGACTGTTCTACCATATGCTTAGGTCATGCAAACTCCATTTACCCAGTTTTTAACCCTCACATATCCCTCGATACCTATTTTAATAAATGAGTATTAATTTCAAGTATTGAAAATTTCAATTTACTTAGTGTACAGGAGAGGGTAGCACATTTCCAAAATTTTTTATGTAAAAAATTGTTTTCTGTTTGCACTCCTAAGTTTCCTAGTTTGGACTTTTTACATTACAACCTGTTTTGAACTCACTTATCAAAGATACTTTGAATGTTTACCATGAATATTCAACAAAGAAAAAAATCTCAACAATAAATGTACTATAATTTAAAAATATTCTTTGCAAGTAAGTAATGTTTGCTTGTGCTCATTTTATCATGGCTACTTCCCCTATCCCTTGCAAGTTCTTTATTAATTTCATACTTTCTCTTTTTTCTGTGTAGTAGGAGATGCTGCTGACTTCTTTGTCTGATTAGCAAGTTTCTTAATCTTTTTTGTACCTGTGAAGGAAAGAAATAGTAATGTTATGAGTTTTAAAAGACTGTGAACACATGCATTTTAATGCAGAAGGTTAACGCTGCACAGGCTACATATAGAGATAGGAGGAACTGCAGATGCTGGAGAATCTGAGATAACAAGGTGTAGAGCTAGATGAACACAGCAGGCCAAGCAGCATCAGAGGAGCAGGAAAGGTTTCGGGTCTAGACCCTTCTTCAGAAATGGGAGAGGGGAAGGGGATTCTGAAATAAATAGGGAGAGAGGGTGAGGCAGATAGAAGATGGATAAATAGAATATAAATAGAAATAATAGAAGATGGATAGGTGGAGAGGAGACAGACAGGTCAAAGAGGCGGGGTTGGAGCCAGTAAAGGTGAGTGCAGGTGGGGAGTTAGGGAGGGGATAGGTCGGTCCAGGGAGGATGGACAGGTCAAGGAGGCGAGATGAGGCTAGTAGGTAGGAGATGGGGGTGGGGCTTGAGGTGGGAGGAATGGATAGGTGGGAGGAAAGGTTAGGGAGGCGGGGACGAGCTGGGCTGGTTTTGGGATGCGGTCGGGGGAGGGGAGATTTTGAAGCTTGTGAAGTCCACATTGATACCATTGGGCTGCAGGGTTCCCAAGCGAAATATGAGATGCTGTT